CTCCAGTGGGGGTCTGGGGAGCCCGAGGATGACAAAAGCCATAGCTTCTTTATCAAGGAATCTGTATTTGTGCAGGACTGGTCTGCAGCACTGCCCCGGGGCTCAGAGGTTTAGCACAGGTGCCTTTTGGACCAGCTCAGCTTCCCCCCCTCACATCACACCGCGAGTTCACGCCACGTTTGACCAGCAGCCAGCCCGGTTGTGGAGCAGGTAAAAGCCCTTGTGAGTGACAGCACACACAAATTCCCTCCTCTGACCTCCTCCCCTTGCCCACCTGGCTCTCCCATCCTGGAATGGGCCGTGGCTGGGGTGGGAGGAGCTGGCAGTGATCCCCCCCTGCTCATCAGACTCTTGTAGAAAAGCCATCCCATCCCACCCTCTCGGTTTATGTGTGTGAGCAGCCCAGCTCCTGGCTGGCTGATAGACATTTAAGCCTTAATAAAATGTTTAAAGTCAGGTTCTGTCTCTCTCTCTCTCTCTCTCTGGCTGCTAATTGGTTTCATCCTGAGGCTTAATGGTGTCATGGAGTGAATCTGTTGGCAGAGGAGGAAATAGGCTGGGAAAAGCCAAACCAGCCCTGAGGAGCTGCAGGCAGGGGGTGTCAGAGGGGTTGTGACAGCAGCTTCATCACAGGGATGAGACTCAGACACCTGAACCCATGGGGGCTTCAGAGAGAAAAGAGCCAGACAAAAAAAAACAACTTGGATATGTTCTGTTCTGGATATGCTGGGGTAAGGTGACATCAAAGTTTGTCACCTCCACAACCCCCTGCTGGTGCCACTTCATTGATGTGCTGGGCCATAACAGCCTCCAGCTGGCTCAGCTCGCCTTGCTCACACCTTTCTTTGCTCTCAAGAGGCACCTGAGCAGAGTTGTGGTGTTGGCAAGGAGCTGGTCATGCCCTGGAGCCCAACTTTGTGCTGATCCTGACCCTGTCTGCATCAGCAGGACTTCACAGCCCTGCAAAAATAGAAAATCACATTTCTTAAAATAATAAACACTTAGGAAATAGGCACAAAATTCCTAAAAGCCCCACGATTCAGAGGCAGTAACTGCGCTCCATGGCAGTGCTGGTGTCGTGTTTGCAGTGAGCAATCCCGGGGTGATTCAGCTCTCACACCTCCCCCAGGCAAGGGGGAGGATCCCCAGAGCCAGCAAAGCCTGGATGCTTCCAAAGCCACCGGTTCTGACAAGTTTCTGCAGTGCCCAAAAGTTCCTTGTGGTGTCCTGAGGTGGGAAGGGATCCAGGTGGAGGCATCC